GCTGACACGTGCTTCCCCCGCAGCGGCCGCTGAGCTTCGTGCACCGGCCACCTCCTGCCCCCCTTGCCCGCCAGCTCCTTCCTCCTCTGAACCTCCGTGATTTCCGCTGCGCTCTGGGTGGGGTCCGTGCTCTCTCGTCCTTTGCTGCAGTTTGGCCTTCACTTCTGAACTGTTTTAACCCTTTAGTTCCCTCCCGGCCTCTGCCCGGCCTCACCCGCCGTCCAGCTGTCCAGCCGTGGCTCCGTCTCACCGGTTCCTCTCCGGTTCTCGCAAAAGCGGAAGGTCTTCGGGTTGAGATTGCTTTTTCAAGTTTTGTTTTTTTTTAAAGTCATGCTGTAATTATGGATTCTAACTTTATTCTTTATTTTATTTTTGATCGTAGAGAGAGGGGAAGGGAGGGAGCGGGGGGGGGGGGGGTCAGGAAACATTGATGTGAGAGAGAAACATCGATCCATTGCCCCTCACCGGATTCTCACTGGGGACCGAATCCAAAACCCGGGTATGTGCCCTGACTGGGAATCGAACCGGCGACCTTGTGCTTGTTGGGACAACCCCCAACCAACTGAGCCACACCAGCCGGGACTCGATTGGAATTTGTATTTGCTGTGTACCAAATATTTATATAGTGAATTTTCTTTATACATAAGATAACCGCAGGGTTCCTTTTCCTTTTTCATTCTTGTAGCATCTTTGGATGGATGCTGTGTTTGTTCCTTTGACAATTTTTTTTTAATTCGTTGGGTTTTCCTGCATGGGCTGTTGCCAGGGAGTTGTGGTGCAAACTGGGAGAGAGGCCGTGTGGTTCTCCAGGGCGCTCTGCTGACGGGCTCCCCCTCTGTTCTAGGGATGCACCGTTCCTTTAAAGCCCGGCCCCCCTCGGGACCCACTCCCCTCGGGCCCTCAGAACCCAGCCTGGGTCAAGGGGCAGCCCGCCTCCAGCCGTGAGCCCCTGGTTCGGTCACGTCTTCCCCGCGGACGGACAGGAGGGGCTCCCGGAGCCCCCACCCCCACGCCCCACTGGAGGCCCAGGTTCCTGTGCAGGTCTCACCCTCCACTGCTGTGGGACCTCGGCTGAGTCCCTTTCCTCCTCTGGGCCTCTGGGTCCCCATGCGAACACGGGAATCTCCCAGGGCCCAGCTCTGGCGTCCCGGGAGCTGCCCCGGCAGCACCCAGCCCGGCAGCGGGGTCGGTAGGGACCAGGTCTGTCCGTCACTGTGACCTGTTCTCTTTGGGTCATGCTCCGCCAGCTTCGGGCTGCACACGGGAGCCCAGAGAGGGTCAGAGGTGGAGCGTCCCATTGCAGGGGCACGGGGACGGGGGGGGCGGGGGGGGGCTGTGAAGAGGTGACAAGCGTCAGGTTAGGGAGCCTTTTCCAGCCTCTGGAACCTGGACCCTGACCCTGATGCTCCCACGATGGGGCCTGTGGAGGTGACACAGAGCCAGGCCGCAGGGGCCTCACGTCCTGCCTGAGACAGCTCCCGGGCCCGTGGCAGGGGCACCGCCACAGCTAACATGGGCCAGCTGGAGGCGCCGCCCTGGGGCGGGGCTGGAAACCAGGGGGCGCTGCGAGGAGGGAGGAGGCGGTGGCAGGGCTGCGCCAGGCTGGTCTGACACGGGCCGGGGCTTGGGCCCTGGCTGGGAGGCCCATCCAGGGGGCCAGGAGAGTGCTTTGGGCCTGAGGTCACATGGGTATTGGGCCGGGGCCAGCTTGGCCTGTTCGCAGCTTCTATTCCTGGGGCCTGGGCTCCGGCACCAAATACGGTGCTGCTGCTCGCGGCCGGCACCTCCATCCGTGGCTCAAGGGGCACGTCCTGCCTTCCCAACAGGCCCACACCCACCCCACGCCCCACGCCACCGGGCCCCCAAGCAGCCAGGGCTTCGCTCCATCCGACTGTCTGTCTGTCTGTCCGCCCCTCAGTACGGTCCACACTGGGTTAAGAATCCTCGGGACCAGAATAGCCTCTCTCCCTGCAGGGGAAAACCAGGGCGGGGAACAGGCTTCTTGATTTTCCATCAGGGCTCTGGCCTTGGGACCGACGTTGTGGGGGGATCCAGGCAGCTCCCCTGACCCCTGACCCCTGACCTCCAGTTTCCTCACTCGTTCTCCCTGGTCCATTTGGTCACTCATTGATTTGCTCACTCACTGGCTACTCATTAATTCACTCACCGATCATTCGTGGACTCACTGACTCATCGATGGCCCCATCCACGCCCTTGCTCTTCACCTGCACGGAGTCACTCGGGGTTTACTGGCCGCATCCTGAGGCCAGCCACTGCTCTGGACGCCGAACAGAACACAGAAGACGCACAAGTGTGCCGCCGGTCCCCGTGGGGCCACGCTCCAAATCGATAACTAACCCACATAAGTGCACGGCTGCACCGTAGGTTGGAACAAGTGTGGGGGAGGCCGGACGAAAGCAGAAAGCTATGAAGTGATGGGGGAGTTGAAATTTTAGGGGCGCGAGGGAGGGCTCCACGGCAGGATGGTTTTTTAAAAATTATTTTATTGTTGTTCAATCATAGCTGTCTGCATCCCCCCCCACCCCGGCCAAACCCACCTCCCTCCCTTGCTTCCACCTCACCCTCGGTTTTGTCCGTGTGTGCTTTATACTTGTTCCGGGAGGATGGCTTTCTGAGTGAGGGCCGAAGGAGGGCGAGGGAACGGGCGAAGGGAACAGTGTTGTTCCAAGCAGAAGGAACAGCAGGTGCGAAGGCCCTTTGACGGCGGCGTGGGGGGATGGATTTGAGAAAGAGCAAGGAGCCAGGCGTGGCCGGGGCGGAGCAGGTGACGACGGGGAGAGAAGCGGGGCCTCGGGTCAGGGCTTGGGGGGCGTCCCGCGTCTCTGGGCCCGAGCAGAGGGGCCGAGCGGCTGACCTGCCCTGTGTCCTCAGCGGCCCTCCGGCTGCCGCATGGGTGAGTCCGTGAGTGAGTGAGTGAGTGACCAGAGTCGTCTTCCCATGTGGTTGCCGTGTGCCGGGCACGGAGACTGGCGCTGGGGGGGGGGCGGAGGTGTGCCGGCCCCGATGGCCCTTGAGGAGGTCCGTCTGGTCAATTCCTTTCTCGTCAACTCCTCTGGTGGCCGATGTGCTCCATTTCAGCCATCACCTAGCGTGTTATCTTTGTCTCTTTTCAAATGGTGTCCCCACGGGCCGAGCGCTCCCCCAGGGCAGGGCTGCACCCAACTGCTGCCCCCCGCCCGTGGGGCCAGGAGAGGGGGGCGCGAACCCGACCGGGAAAAGCCCCAGCCCTCGGAGAGCCCGCGGCGCACCTCACTGTGTCTCTCACCATCTTTTGCAGATGGACTTGCAGGCACGGAGAGCGTGTGCGCGGGCCGTGTTCCCGTCGGCGGACAAGGCTGCCTGCTGACCCGGGGCGTGTCTCCAGGAGGCTGCCCGGACCCCCACCGCACCGCCATGGGGCGCCCAGGCTGGTCAGTGCCAGCCCCTGACGTCGTCCCAGTGCCCTGCCCTTGGCCCTCGGGGGAGGGCCGGGCCCATTCGCTCAGGTCCCAGGCTCCGGGCACCCGTCTTTGGCCAGGAGCCCCGTCTGTCCTGGGAGCGGTTGTTCCCGGCCCCCCACGGCCCCCAGACTTGTCCAGTCCCTCCGCCCCTTTCTGTCCAAGTTTCCTGGCCTCTAAAGTAGGAGTGACGCAACTTCTCTCCGGGGTTACCGAGGGCCACAGTGGGTGTGAATCTGGCACCGTGCACTCAGAAGGCACGGAACCCACGGTGGCTGGGATTCTGCCGGGGGTGGGCAGAGCCCGGGCCAGCACACGCTGACTCCCCGCAAGCGCCAGACGCGTGCGCACATTGGCTGCACTCTCTCCCCCACTCCCCAGGCAGGCAGGATGGCGCAGTGGTGAGAGCACAGACTCTGGACCCAGGTGGCCTGGGTTCAAACCCATGTCATGCCGCTTGCTGGTTGTGGGACTCTGTGTGAGTTACCAGACTTCTGTGCCTCAGTTTCCTCACTTGTAAAATGGGAGTGATGATCACCACCCCACAGGGTAGCGTAAGGGTCTAACGAGTTCACGTGTGTTGGTGCTGACGAGGTCGCCTGGCGAGGGCACAGGGGACAGCGTGTGTTCAGAGCGTGAGCGAGCACGTACCAGCAGCGGGCCCGAGAGGTCCCATCTTGCAGATGGGAAGATGGAGGCTCAGCGAGCCGAGGGCCGTGCGCGAGTCTCACAGCCGCATCAGGCGGACTTGAGGTCACCTGCATCCCGGGCATTCACACCCCCTCGGTGATGGGGCCCAAGCCTGTCCCGTTCCTCCCAGCCACCTGCAGGGCGCCCACAAGTGTTTCTGGCTGCTGGCCAAGTGGGCACCGCCAGGAGCGGGTGAGGCTCCAGGGGCGGCAGGACTAGCAGAGGTCACGGACAGCAGCCAACTTCCCTTCCCGTCCCCCTCCCAACCCAGACCCGGGTCTGGGAGAAGCACAGCCCAGGGCAGGGGCTGGGGAAGCCAGGGGTCCTGGAGGCCCAGGAGGCCCCGGCGTGTCTGAGCCCAGAGGTTTGGGCCGGCCCTGGCGAGCATCCCCACGTGCCAGCCCTGGGGCTCCTGCGGCCAGTCCCCGGGGCTACTCGGCCCCCCGTGGACCAGCTCAAGGCCTGGTCTGTGGAGCTGGGGGGTACGTGTGCCGGGCCCACCACTGCAGGCTGCCAGCCTGGCCTGCTCGGGGGGGGCACAGGCTAGGCCAGGCAGTCAGGCCTGTGTGCCCACGTTAGAGGCATTACTTCCGACAGCCCCTGCACGTGCCAGACCCTGCCCCGGGTCCCTGATGGCTGCAGGTTCTCGGTGGCCCCGGCCCAGTCCTTGGGAGCTCAGGCCATGGTCCACGGGTCCCGTTTTCCAGGTGAGGAGGGAGGTGGGGCTCGGAGCCGGCGGCAGGCTCGTGGGCTCCGGACGCCGGCGCTGGCCAGGGCCGCAGTTTGTAGGCAGTGTTTTCCTGGGGCGGGGGCGGCTGCAGCCCGCCCCAGCGTGGTGTCCATCTCTTGCAGACCGGCTAGTGCCTGCTGGAGGGAGGCTCCTGCTGTCATCCGGGGAGACCATGTCCAGGTCCCCGGACTGTCTGCCGTGGCTGCTCCGGAGCACCCCGAGGCAGCGGGGCTGCACCCTGTTCATCATCGGCTTCAAGTTCATGTTCCTGGTCTCCGTCATGATCTACTGGCACATCGCGGGGGGGCCCAGGGGCCAAGGACGCTTCTCTAACCTGCCTGTCGACGTCCCCTGCCCCGACCTGGCGCCGCCCACGCGGCACCCCAGCGCCCCACCTCCGGGCAACATCTTCTTCCTGGAGACCTCAGAGCGGACCGCCCCCAGCTTCCTGTTCATGTGCTCGGTGGAGTCGGCCGCCAGGGCGCACCCCGAGTCCCGGGTGGCGGTCCTGATGAGGGGGCTGCCCGGCGGCAACGCCTCCCTGCCCCAGCACCTGGGCTTCTCGCTCCTGCGCTGCTTCCCCAACGTGCAGATGCTGCCGCTGGACTTCGAGGAGCTGTTCCGGGACACGCCGCTGGTGGCCTGGTACGTGGCCGCACGGCGGCGGTGGGAGCCCTACCTGCTGCCCGTGCTGTCCGACGCCTGCAGGCTGGCGCTCCTGTGGAAGTTCGGGGGCATCTACCTGGACACAGACTTCATCGTCCTCAGGAGCCTGAGGAACCTGACCAACACGCTGGGCATGCAGTCCCGCTACGTCCTCAACGGCGCCTTCCTGGCCTTCGAGCGCCGCCACGAGTTCCTGGCGCTGTGCATGCGGGACTTCGTGGCCCACTACAACAGCTGGATCTGGGGCCACCAAGGCCCGCAGCTGCTCACGCGCGTCTTCAAGAGGTGGTGCTCCATCCGCAGCCTGGGCGAGAGCCGCGCCTGCCGGGGCGTCACGGCCCTGCCCTCCGAGGCCTTCTACCCCATCCCCTGGCAGAGCTGGAGGAAGTACTTCGAGGACGTGGGCCCCGAGGAGCTGCCCCGGCTGCTCAGGGGCACCTACGCCGTGCACGTGTGGAACAAGAAGAGCCAGGGCACGCACCTCGAGGCCACGTCCGGGGCGCTGCTGGCCCAGCTCCACGCCCGCTACTGCCCCACGACGCACAAGGCCATGAGGATGTACCTGTGAGGGGCCTGCCCGCACCCAGCATGAGGATGGTGGGGAGGGGCGCCCGGCCACTCTTCCTGGGGAGGCGAGGGGAGGGGTGGGGGGCGGGGCACAGGTGGTCTCTCTGTTCCCTCGGACCCACGGTGAGGCTGGCGGGACACCCAGCGGCCAGCCAGCGTGCTGGCTCAGGGCAGGGGAAGCCAGCGGGGGTGGGGAGCACCCTGGGTCTGCTGGACAACACGTGGAAGCTGGGAACATGGAAGCGTCCCCCAGGCATGCCGGGAGAGCCGGGTGTTTGGGGTCCCGGGTGGCGGCGGTGGGAGCAGCCTCGGAGGAGCCCAGGGCAGGAGGAAGGCAGGCAGACCCCCCCAGAGGAGGGGCTCGGGGGCCGCTGTGGGGGAGCAGTGGGCAAACTCGGCTTCGAGAGCCCGGGGTGGGGCCCAGCTCTCCCGGCTCTGGTTTTTCTCAGGCTGAGGCTGGCGCAGCCGGCCTGGGGAGCCCTTGGGGGGAGGCCCCCCCTAGTGCCCGCCCCGTCCTTCTTTCCACAGGGTGACAGCTGCCCGCTCCAGGGGCACAGGGGTGTGGAGGATTTTTGACTTGGAAAAAGCATTTTAAAGGAAATACTCCCACCCTGCTGTTAATAAACAAAAAATAACCCAACAGAGTGACTGGTGGACATCGAGTGCTCTGTGGTCGAGAAAACACACTAGCTCACACACGGCCTCCTCAGCACCATTCTGCAGGTGGGAAGCACAGGGGGCGGGGGCAGGGCTGGAGGTGACTTGCCTGGGATCCAGCCTGGATCAAAAGGTCTGGGCTGGGGGAAGGCCAGCGCTTGGGAGGGCGCGGCCCCAGCTGGTTGGGTTGAGTGAGGAAGCCGCCTCAGGGCTGGGCGTTCCCTCGGAAGGCCTCCCCTGCGGGACTGGGGTCCTGCCAGGAACTCGGGCTCTGCCTGCTGCTCTTTGCCAGCAGAGGGGGAGGTGTTCAGAGGCCTCTGGATTCTTCCTGCAGACGGTCGTGGGCAGCCTGGCAAGGTGGTGAGCTCCCTGGCTCCAGGGGTATTCAAGAGCAGGTGATTTTTTTTTTTATACAGATAGTGGATTATGTGTCACTTATTTCTCCATAACATCATTTCACCTGTCTTAATTTATTTTAGAATAAGCAGATTTTAATTTTAATATGCAAGTAAATAGGTAACTATGTGTGTATATGTTTAAACAAGTGAGATGACCTCTTAAGTCAAGCATGGTTTAGTCATTTGGCCGTCATATAGTGAGTGTCTACTATATGTCACTATAGAGAAATGAAACAGACACATGTCACTCCATCACCCTAAACTCTTCTGTGGCTCCCTATTGCTAGGGCACAAAGCCTGTCTCCTGGGTCCAGCATTCAAGGCTCTCAGGGATCTGGCCACGCCTCCCTCTCCACCCTTGAGCTTTGCCCTCCATCCACACTAAACAGTGTGTGTGTGTGTGTGTGTGTGTGTGTGTGTGTGTGTATATAAAGATTTTATTTATTTTTTAGGGAGGGAGAAAAAGGGAGAGAAACATCGATATGTGAGAGAGACACTGATCTATCGGTTGCCTCTCACGCGCCCCCAGCTGGGGACCTGGCCCGCAACCCAGGCATGTGCCCTGACTGGGAATCGAACCGGGGACTTTTGTGTCACAGGCTGGTGCTCAATCCACGGAGCCACACCAGCCACACCAGCCAGGGCCTCACTATATATTCCGACTCCCTTCCCCACCCTGATGTCCACATGTGACACTCTCAGTGCCCTTCCCAACCATCTTCACCATCAAGGCCTTGTCCCTCCCCATAAGGCCGATGCACCCTCCAGGAAGCCTTCCCTGATTGCCCTGCCTCCAGCCCCACGGCTCCCACGCATCCTCCGTGACCACTGGGTTCTTGGTCCGTCCCTCCAAACGTCTGGGAGGGCAGAGCCATGTCAGGCTCAGGCTCCCAGGAGGGGACACCCATGGGCTCGGCGAGGGCCTCAAGAAGTTCCTGTCAGTCCCTGGAGGGCCGAGGGGCTCCGATTACCCCGACACCTAACCCAGAGGGCCAGGCCAGAGCAGCTGCAGCCGGCCGGCGGGAGTGCGGGCTCCCAGAATGTCAACAGGCCTCCGCAGAGAACCTCGTGCTGGAAACACGGCCCAGGAGGCAGCCTTGGCCCCAGCCTCCGCGCATCGCATCCTGCCAGGCAGGACCAAGAACGGGAGAACTCTCAGATGTTCCTGGCACCCTGGGCTCTGAGAAAGGGGGAGGGGAGGCGGGGCGGCGGCGCAGAGCAGGCTCCAACCACCAGCGTGGGAGTGGGGGCGGGTAGGGAGGGGGCCGGACCTTGCTGAGCCAACTTCTCAACGCTGCAGCCGTAAACCAGCGGGGTTCCAGCCGGTCAGAGGCTACAGCTGCATTCTGGAGGATGCGAGTGGGCGGGGCCAGGGTAACAGGAGAAGAGCTGATTGGGTCTGTGCCCTGGCGCAGGCAGGTGACCTCACCAAACAGCCTGGAGGACCCCAGCCTCCACCCACCCCGGTGCTGTGTGCTTCACCTCCTGAGCTTGAAGCAAGTCTCAGAATGCCCAGGGCAGGGAGGGGGAGCCAGAGGACCCCCTTTCCCTTCCTCCTGGCCTCCGTGCCCCAGCAGAGCTCTGCCTGCTGTTTCTTGCAAAGAAGGGAGGGGTGGTACCCACCTCCCAGCACGGCCGTGATGACCAAGTGAGCCAGGACGGAGCACATTGTCACGACACACCTCCGCTTTCTGCTTGGTGGCCCAAGCAAGTGGGAGGCAATACCGGGATTTGAACCCAGGCCTTGGCTATCCTGAGGACTGAGCTTAGAGCAGGAAGAAGGCTGGCTGGGGGAGCTGAACAGGGCTTCTCCTCGCCCCCCTGTGCGCCCATAGACAGACTCCGGGGCCCTCCTCCGGCCCCCTCTGCTGGCCCCGCATTCCAGAGACCCTGCTCTTCGTCCTGTCCCGGACTCAGTGCCCGGCTCCCGGGCAGCCTCGGGCTGGCCCTCCTTGGCTAGGAGGTGGAGCTCAGTTCTGGAAAGGAACAGGGTGTGGCGGGTTTCTCGGAGGCCTGCCCTGGGGCAGTAATCAGATCCCAGGAACCCCGAGGTTGGTGCGCAGTGTGCCCACAGATGTCTTCGCCACAGAGTTGGGGGAGAAGATGAGGACCCAGCCCTTTACTGGGGGGCAGAGAGGGGCCGGCAGGGGCCCCAGGCCAGCGTGCCATCGTTAATTGAATGTGCTTTCCCTGGCTGGCCCAGCACAGGCTCTGGGGTAAGAAGGCCATTCCGCTGGCCGCCACATCAATATTCAACTTCTTGTTTAAACATTAAATTAAACGTCCTCCATCCGAGTGCACACGGAAACCCAGGATGCGTGAGGAACTTAGGGCTGCGTTCCTGAAAGTCGGGTTTCACGATTCATCGGTTCCTAAACCTCTGCTTGTCCTGAGTGGGCCAGCCAGCGCAAGGCATGCTGGGAATCCTGCTGCGAGGCTGGGGGTCAGGACGGGACAATGAGCGGAGGACTCGGGTTTGATCTGGGCTTTGGCGTGGGAGGGGGACACCCACTCCCAGGGCAGGGACCGCAGCAGGAAGGACCCGAGGTGGTGCGCGAGACTGCACCTCGGTGGGGGTGGCAGGGCACCCCCAAACAGGAAGACATTCCTCACAGCCACAGTGCACCACCAAGAAGCATCAGAACCCACCAACTTGCAAGGAGGGAAGATCAGAGAGGAGGCCTCCAGCTGCTAGAAACAACTCTGGTGGCTGAAGCCCCCGGGGGCACAGTTATCCCGCGGAGGAGGTACCGGCTAAGGCACTGGGGAAGCTGGTCTAAGGAAAGACTTCAAAATACAACCACTTAAATGAGGTAGAAGATTGTTTCTCTCTCAAATCACAGCCCCTTGCAAGGTGTGCTCCAGACCCACGAGAATAAGGAGGGAATAAGTGAGCCATTCTGCCATCCCCACGGCTGAGCGTCCATGGCTCCGGCTGCTGCACTTTCCAGGTCGTGGGAAGTGGGGAGGTGGGGGGAGGTTCAAGGCAAACGTCTTTAGGAAGATAATCCCTGAAGGTGCTTGCCTATTTACGCTCACATCCCATTGGTCTGGACTTAGTCACATGGCCACGCGCAGCTGCCAAGGATGTTGGGAAGTGTAGTTGTGCATCTGGGGGGCCAAATATCCAGCTAGACTTCAGTATGTCCTATTACTAAGTGGGTGAGGGTGACAGGAAGAATGGACACTAGAGGACAGTTAACAGAGTCTGCCACAGTAACAAGGAACCTGGGGAAAGGGTTCCTCCAGGGCTGGTTAATTCAGAAGCTGATCAACATCTTTATATCTTCAAGGACCTGGAGGGTCGCAGGCTTATTCCCTCCTGGCCTCAAGGGGGCTGCCACTGCTCCGAGCATCACAGCTTTATCCACTGACACAAAAAGACAGAAAAGAGACTGTTGCTCCCTTGTGTCTAGGAAAACTTTCTCAGAAGGCCCCCAGTCCCACTGACTTCCCCTACTCCAATTACTAGCAAAGGGAATGGAATGACCAGGACTCATTTATACCAGTTGATACCGGTCTCAGATTCAGGGGCTGGGAAGGGCCTCAGTTCCTCTACAACACAAGGTCACCTGAGGGCTGAAGAAAGCCAGGTTTCCTTCACCAAGAAAGAAGGAGGATAGGATGGCGGTGGGCAAGGAGCCTCTACGTGAGCTGGCACTTCCCGCCCGCCTGCTCTGCCCCGAGCCCAGCCGCAGACTCTCCCCCTGCTCACACCTTCTGCTGGGGTAGACGGGGTTCCATTCAGCTCACTGTCTGCACTTTACATAGGAGAAAACCGAGGCTCAGAGAGGTTAAGGGACTTGCCTAAAGCCGCACAGCCAGTGCCTGGCAGAACTGCGGTTCCGGTCCAGGTGTGTGGACCTCTGGAGACAGGCTCCTTCCCCTTGCAGGGTGCCCTGGCAGAAGTCTTGTGACCGGCCCTTTCCAGTTCTAAGACCAGCAGAAGTAGACCTGTGAAATATTTCAGGATGATGTGGCTGGCAGAGTATTTTTTGAGAAACACA